ACCTGCTGTGCTATCACTCCAGACCCTCTGGCAGAGCCATTCTTGAATAAGAATCTCTCCAGGGTACCGTCTAGTTCTCCAGAGACTGACAAAAGGAAGCAGTAAGCAAATACTTAGGGAGAAGATAGGAGGGTGGAAAGTTTGTGCTTTTCCCATATAGATGGCAATATCTGAACACTAACCCAGCGGGAGCTTCCCTTGACCCCGCCCTTTTCTTCCCCTATCTCCTTACACTCCTAGATGTGAGAAGGTGAAGACCATGGAGGTGACTTCAGTATCCATAGAGCTGGAAAAGAACTTCAGCAATTTCCCCCGACAGTACTTTGCCCTAAGGAAAATCCTTAAACAGCTAATTGGTGAGTTGTTCCCAAAGGCAACTAACAAAATTGGCAGCGAGAAGAAAATCTTTAGATTCTGCTTTATCTGGGCTCCCCGTTATCCCATGGGTCACTCTCCATGCCCATCCCGTACCCCCTCCTTTACCTGGCTCTCACTCCCACCCTGAGTCACAAAACTGTGAGAAGCCTTAGGTCTACACTTTTCTACATGGATGACCACGAGGTTATAAATTTGTTTAAAGTAGCCCTCTCAGGAGGAAAAAATTGTTTTCTCAGAAAATAGTCATAAACCAGGACTGGACCAGGAAAATTGGTGCATGATCACCCTCTCCTTAGGCCATAATGCTCTCTTGCTCTGTATCCTTCTTAATGTTTTCCGTTCTTTTTGGCCCTTAGACTACCTGGCACTTCCCTACACAGTGAGAAGATAGATAATGATGTCAGAGGGGGATAGAAGGAAGACCAGGCAGGAGCCTAAACTGTCAGCCCTTGCATCTGTGGTCTTAGCGCCAGGGTGAGAAGTGGAGCCATGCTTCTGACCCCTTGATTAGGTGGCTAGCGTCCGGGAAAGTTAGCCAGACCATTGTGCTTTGGGGACATCATCGGGGTCAGGCTCTGTAAAGGGAAACTGGGAGAGAGCGAGGCAGGAGTGTTTAGCTATTCCCATCCTCATCTAGCTCCCCACTCTGGCTTCTCCCGCCAGCGGATGTGACCCTCGACCCTGAGACTGCTCATCCTAACCTAGTCCTGTCAGAAGATCGTAAAAGCGTCAAGTTCGTGGAGACAAGGCTTCGGGATCTCCCGGACACACCTCGGCGTTTCACCTTCTACCCTTGCGTCCTGGCGACTGAGGGTTTCACCTCGGGTCGACATTACTGGGAGGTGGAGGTGGGCGACAAGACTCACTGGGCAGTGGGGGTATGCCGAGACTCTGTGAGCCGCAAGGGCGAGCTGACTCCGCTTCCTGAGACTGGCTACTGGCGGGTGCGGCTATGGAATGGGGACAAGTACGCGGCCACCACCACGCCTTTCACCCCTTTGCACGTCAAGGTGAAACCCAAGCGGGTGGGCATATTCCTAGACTACGAGGCCGGCACACTGTCTTTTTATAACGTCACAGACCGTTCTCATATCTACACCTTCAATGATACTTTCACTGAGAAACTTTGGCCCCTCTTCTACCCAGGCATCCGGGCTGGTCGGAAGAATGCTGCACCTCTTACCATCAGGCCCCCAACAGATTGGGAATGACAGGTAGGGATGTTGGGATAACTTGGGCAAGGCAGGGTCAAGAGCTGGGGGCCTTCCTTCCTGGAACCTGCTGGAACGTCTTCAGATCGGCCTGGTTCCAGTCTCGAACCATCCGGAAGAAACACCTTGGTTTCTGGAATGGTTTGTGATGAGCAGTAGGCTGGTTGAGGTGTTGTTGTATCTCCCTCCTGTTAAGAGTGGTAAGCTGGGTCCCAGGGAATCGTCTCCTGGCGTCCATCAGGTTTTCTGTTACACAGGACGGGTGGAGAAGGAGAGCTCTTACTGAAGCAAAACATCTAGGAGGATATGACATGCGCACACCAGAGGAGGAAACAAACCCCTGTACATCCGATTACAGGGTTCTTTGACTCAGAATAGTCTTGTTGATTGAAGAAGATTCAATCTGTGTACCTCTAGACTGAAAAAAATGAATGGCAGCTGCTCTTCAGGGTCTAAACATTGAGTTTTCTGAGGTCAGAGATGGGGCATTAAGGCCAGAAAGAAAATCAGGGAAGAAGGGAAGACTAGAGGACCAGATCACTGGAGACTAATGTAGGGAAGAGAGTTTCTGCAGTTGCCAATTTGAGCAGGATCAGCAGAGGAAAGGGGATGGGAGCAGTGGGCTAGAGAAAGGAGAGCCCAGGGCCCTGCTCCCCTTCAACACACCTGACTTGTCCAACCAGTCTCCTTACAGTAGACTGAGAGAGGTGGGTTACCTTGTTTCTCTCCAGGGTCAGGTGCCTGATGTCCTGCAAGACAGTCAGCCCTTCAGCCATTTTCCCAGGGGAACTTGGAAAGAAGAGAGTCAGGTATTAGAGGAATGAGAAAAGTTTCTATCTAAAACCCTAGCCTTAAAGAATGTTAATAAGTATCTACTCCAAAATTGCCAGCCTTGTTACTTGGCTAGGTATCCAAGCCAGAAGGGAGAAGGAAAACAATCTTCCTTACCCTTAGGACAGGATAGAAAAAGGAAGTTTGCAGGGAAGGGCCAGACGGACAACTTCCTTTTTCCTAATTGCATCTGGCCAGAAACTAGCCTTCCTAAGAGCCAGTCTTTCACCTGTTTGATGTTACTCGACACCTTTTTCCATTCCCCTATCAGAGAATGTAAATCATTTTAATGCTAGGCCAAAATAAATAACCTGTAGGGTACTTAACTTTGTCAAAAAAGGTAAAGCAATGCATGCCAAACCAAACTAAAATGACTTGGATTATCTGCTACTTGGGTAATCAGGATCCACAGAAGACTGGGACAAGACTGCAGTTTATTGAGGGCATTTTGTTCCTCTGCCACCTCAACAGGACTTTGTCCAGACTCTCCTCTTACCTTTGTGCCTTGACTGTGGTTCTTTGTGGCAAGATGCTTTGATTGGTAAACATAATATGGAACAAAGGATCCACTGAAGTGATTTCTGTGTTGTGTGATAATTTGACAAATTGTGTTGAGATGTAAAAATCACTGGTGTTAAAAATTCATGTTCCAGCCCAGAGGAATAGCTCAGTGACTTAGAAATGCCTACCTTGCAAGTATTAGGGAATGAATTCAACCCTCAAAACTATTACATGTACCAAGTGCAACCTTGGCAACTCTGCTGTCTGACCCTCACAGACAGATGTATGTGAACACCACAGCAAAGGCGTGGGGCCCTTGGCAAGCACTGCAGCTAAGGGGTGTGTAAGCTCCACAGCCAGGATGTGCAACCACTGGCCAGCACTCTAAGCAGAATATGCTCAAATACCACAACTTAGAAGGACAGCCTCTAGCGAGCATGTGGGCTGAGTGCAAGCAACCCAACATATCACCCTTGGTTAGCCCCAGATCACCACAGTCAGAAGTGTGTGTGATTCCAGATGTTTGCAACAAAAATAACAGCAATTGAGAGAATACAGCAAATGAGACACTTGGATTGCATGCTGCAGATCCTGGTTGGATTCCTGACACCACATACAGGGTCACTAGTGAGCACTGGAGGAAGGTGGCCCAATTTGTACCTCTCTCCAAAAAGGGCAAGAATAATAAAGGGAAGGGTTCAAGGATATTAAATAAATACATAACAGTTCCTGGGCTAACTGAGGTCTGGGCTCATTTTTATAATCTACGTTTTGTAAATGTTTTTTCCGCTTTCCTTTTTTGTCATGATAAACAGGGTTGCAGTGTGCTTGCGTACATAGTTGGGGGTTGCAGACTTTTGTTGAACTCACGCACATTTTGGTTGCAGTATTCACCAATGATCACAGTTGTGATGCCAGAGATTCCAAACAGCTTAGTCACTGGGATTTAAGTCACTGACAGTGTTGTGGACCAAACGCAGCCTCAGCTTTACAAGCTTGCATTGAGTGCTGCAGAACTGTCAGGCACTTTGCCACTGAACTAGTCCCAGGATATCTATATTTTAAGTATACTTCTCTCCTCCGTTGAGTCTGGGGACCACTTTAAAGTACATCCTAGTGGAAGATGTTTCAGACATTTTCTCTCTTAAAGATCTGATGCCCTTGCCTACCTACCCTAACACAGGGAATAGATGTAACTGCCTGGAAAGGAAGAAGACTCATCCTCTACCCTTCTTGGGGTTTATTTGTGTTCTCTCCAACTTGTATTCCTTTTTTTTTTCTCCTGAGAAACTGGTAGTCATTAACTGTGAAGCAGAGGTAAATGCAGAGTACCAAACGGAGTGACAAACAGGTCACAGGGAAGAGACATCTATGTCTGTTACTGGGTGTAGTTTCCAGAGAGACGCTGTGGACTGGTCTGTGTCCTGGTACCTGAGATCATCAATACATCAGTATTGCACCGCATAACAGGAAGTTTCTTTTGGAAGTGAAAGGCGTAGGGGAACCATGTTTTCCCAGGCCTAGGCACACTCTCCTCCCTCTACATCTACCTCTCATCATCCTTTCCAATTCCACTCTTTTTAGCAGCAGTGCTTTTCTGAAATTTCCATCCTCTGTTCCTTCCATCAATAGGTCTTCTAGGCATCAGTCTTTGGGTTCAGGAGAGTAGGGTAGAAGATCTGAATATAAAGTGCATATAATCATGCCCAACGTTTCTGCATAGAGACCTGTAGCTTTGCATGTCAGAGGCACTACCTAGCCGAAGAGCATTGCTGGGCGTGGCCTAAAAACCCGAGGGAGGAAAAAATGAGGTGCCTGTTCAGAAATTGGTTAGCAACTTAACATCCTCTCTTCTTCCTCTTCCGTTCTCTCTAATATAACCTGACCATGGGCCTGGCTGTAGAAGACTAGAAAGAAGCCAAAAGACCCTTGGGCTTCAGTTGGTGGGGCGAAGTTACACACCTACCTTGGTAGGTAGACTGGCGTCGGGTGCTGGGGCAAGCCTGTCGCGGACCTGGAACTACATTTCCCGGAAGGCTTTGCAGGGTACCGGGGGCCCTTCCGGGGCGGGGCCTGGGGCGGCCGCCGGGAACGAAAACGGCGCCGATGGCCGGGCCGGTGAAGGACCGCGAGGCCCTGCAGCGCCTCAGTTTCCTATACCAGGTGCGTCCTCGCCGCGGGCTGGCGGGGCGGTGGCCGCCGACCCCCGGGTGACCGCTGTCCCTCCCCAGGCCGCTCACTGCGTGCTCGCGCAGGACCCCGAGAACCAGGCGCTGGCCAGGTTTTACTGCCACACCGAGAGAACCATCGCGAAGCGGCTCGTCCTGCGGCGGTGAGCGGGGGCGGTGCCCGAGCCCGGCGGGAGGGCTGGAGGGGCGAGAGCGGCCCCGACCACCTGTCCCCTCTGCCCTCAGGGACCCCGCGGTGAAGAGGACCCTGTGTCGTGGCTGCTCGTCCCTGCTCGTCCCGGGCTTGACCTGCACCCAGCGCCAAAGACGTGAGCGCACCTCCCGGGAAGGGGAGACTGAGCAGCGCCGGCCGGGTGGGGGGCGGCGGCGAACCAGCGACCCTTCCCTTTCCCCGAGTTAGACCGGTGGCGGCCGGGATTTGCAGGCGCCCACTTTCCCCTGCTCCGATTAATATCAGTTGGGACAAACTTAAGGTGTTTTGTTTTTTGTTGCTTTTTGTTTTTTGATTTTTGGGTCACACCCGGCGATGCACAGGGGTTACTCCTGGCTCTGCACTCAGGAATCACACACCTGGTTGGTGGTGCTCAGGGGACCCTTTGGGATGCTGGAAATCGAACCTTGGTCAGCTGCGTACAAGGCACACGCAGCCCAAACTTAAGGTTTTAAAGTTTAGGTTTGACTTATGCAGTGGAAAAGAAGTTACCATAAAAGACAATCCATGCATAATAGATGTTATTTAGGGAACAGAATTCCATCACCATTTATCACCTGCCCAACAAAATGTTTTGTTTTGGAGCCATATCCTATGGTGCTGGGAGCTATCCAGCACCTGGAGTTACCCAGGTCCAACAAGGACTTCTGTTTTTATCTATGTTTATTCCAATAGATGCTTTTTAATATGTGTCAAGCTTTATGCTAGATTCTTTTTTTTTTATGCTAGATCCTTTAGTCTGTTGAAATTAGAGTTTCAATGGGTCAGAATAAAAGCAAAATCGTTTAGAGGACCCAAGCGATAGTACAGCGGGTAGGGCGTTGCCTTGCACACAGCTGACCAAAGTTTAATTTCCAGCATCCCAAATGGTCCCCTGAGCACCGCCAGGAGTAATCCCTGAGCATCGCCGGGTGTGACCCAAAAGCCAAAAATAATAATAATAAAATAACGTAAAATTTGAATTGGAAGAATGAGATGCTATGTTACTACTAATGCCAGCGGTGATGAAGTTTATGGTAAAGCAAGTGGGGGATAGAAATTCTGAGCTTGTGTGAGCGCCCAGACAAGACTGTGGTACTGCCAAGGAAATAAGAGTGCGGGAGGCTGGAGTTTGAGGCAGGCAAGGCAGGACATGAACCTGGAGTGGGAAACAGGCCTTGAGGAATCTTATAAAGGTGCTTGGACTTGATCTAAAAGAGTTCCAAGAAATTGACAGGTTGTGTGCAGCCCCTAAACTACTAACATCAAATTCGTGTTCTAAGTAGAGAAGGGTAGAATTCCTGCTTGAGAACAGTGGAGGCAGAACTGGAAACCTCTTCTTCTCCTATACGTGCATTCTGTTTCTTTTTCCCATATTTCACTCCAGGCCGCAAAGGGCTGCACTGGACAGTCCAGACTTGCCTAACGTGCCGGCGCAGCCAACGATTCCTCAATGATCCTGCACATCTGCTCTGGGGAGATCGGCCCGAGGCTCAGCTGGGGAGCCAGGCAGGTGAGAGGTGGAGAGAAAAAGGAGGGATTCAGTGAGGGGTACGAACAGGTACCTACCCCTGAGGGTAGCAGTGAGGGACATTAGAGTTCAAGAGGACATGGTGGGTGATTCCTGGGTTGGTACAAAGGGAGCCAGGATCTTAGCTAACTATCTCTGCTCATCTGTAACAGATTCCAAAGCGCCGTGTCCCCTGCCAAACACAGCCTGCCTGGTGCCGGCCCACCATCCAGAGGAGAAAGTGCAGTCTCAAAACTCCAGTCCCCAGTGATGGATTTCCTCCGTCTTCTAAGAACAAATAAAGCTCACTTTTGTTTCACTCTGTGATTTTGTAAATCCATCTCTCTCTCTCTCTCTCTCTCTCTTTTTGCTTTTTGAGCCACACCAAGTAAGCTTGGGGCTTACTCCTGTGATGCTCTAGGATCATTCCTCATGGTGTTCAGGAGCCATATGGGGCGCCAGAGATCAAGACAGCCATTTGCATGATAAGTGCCTACCCACTGTAATATTGCTTCAGCCCCCTCAGTCCATTTGTCTGTTTTTCTCTCTCATCTCCTTTGTCCTTTTTTTTGTTATCATTATATTCACCCTTATTTAGAAAGAACTCACTTTCCATGAACGACTTGGCTCAACTAAGGAATTCCCATTGCTGTACTCCATTTGGAACACTGGCTCCAAGGGGCTGAGCCTTCTTAGGATGATCTTCAGTTAGGCAACTCTTAACTATCTGGCCTGGGGTGGAGAGGTTGGATTTTGGACGACACCTGCCTACTGTACTTAGGATTTACTCCTGATGGGCTTGGGGGATCATGTGAGGAGCGAGGGATTGAACCCAGGTCAGGTGTGTACCAGGCAAGTGCCATACCTGCTGTACTATCTTCTCCAGCCTCAGTTCTGGCTTGCTGATTTAAGCACCAAGCCACTGCTGGTGCCATTAACACTGTATTTTAGGGCTTTTGTTTGGGGAGGTCATACCCAATGATGCCTATGGGTTGTTCCTGGCTCTTTGTTTGGGGACCGTGCGATACCAAGAGCTCCCACTTGCCAAGCATGTGCTCTCGCCCTTTGAGCTATCCCCCAGCTTTGATGGATTTCTGTTTGGTTAGTTGGTTTTGGGTGTTTTTTTTTTTCATGTTTTATAATTTTATTTATTAAATCTCCGTGAGAGCAGTTACAAGGCTCTCGGGTCTGAGTTTCGGTCATACAATGAAACACCCATACCTTCACCAGTGCCCATTCTCCACCACCAAAAACCCCAGTATACCCCCATCCCACACCCTCCCCCTACCCGTGGGGCAGATGATTTCCACATTACTCTCTTTCTACTTTGATCACATTCAATATTTCGACACCAGACCCACCATTCAGAGATTTTACCCCAACACTCAGATCTGCTGAGAAGGCAACAATAGACAATTTGTGTTCTATTGCTGGTTATGAATAACATATGATGTCGCATGGCTGCAGTAGGTCCATGTGATTTTGAAATTTTGAAATTTTAAGACTTAAATCTGGAAGGATTTCTGCCAAAAGCCACTGGGTTTCGAGATTTGCTCCTGAGTCTCTGGGAGCATGGCCGTTGAGCAGCTTGATCAAGAGCCAGAGAGGCCGTGGGCGATGACTTGGGGTCTCGTTGGGACAGGGAGACCAGGACCGGCTCCACGCCCATCCTGTGAGGCCCAACAAGTTTCATCACTGTGGGCCCAGACCTGACCAATGGCCTCTGGAGGATGACAGCCACCGAGCCGCCAAGAGGGAGCAGACGGAGGGACAACACCCTTTCCCCCTGGGGTGGCCTGGTGACAGTAACCTACTGTGGGGTCCGGACGCATTTCTACCAAAAGCTGCTGGGTTTCGAGATTCGTTTCTGAGTCTCAGGCATCATGGTCGTTAAGCAGCTTGATCAGGAACCAGAGAGGCCATTCGTGGGTGATGACTTGGGGTCTCATTGGGGTGGGGAGGACAGGACCGACTCCACCCCCATCCCGTGAGGCCCTGCGTGTCTCGTCACTGGGGGCCCAAACATGACTGTCCAGTAGCCTCTGAAGGATGGTGGCCACTGGGCAGCCGGGGGAACAGGCCAAGGCACGAAACCTATTCCCACCTGGGTTGGCCCAGCACCGGTAACCTACTGCAGGGACCGGACACATTTCGGCCAAAAGCAGCTGGGTTTCGAGATTTGTTTCTGAGCCTCTGGGATCATGGCCATTAAGCAGTTCAATTAAGAACCAGCGAGGCCATGCCTCCAATTATATAGCCGAGCCGGAGGTGGCTTGTGGGTGTGTCTCCCACATACCTAACTTTTGGCCGTTTACTTTCTTGGTAAACTTTGTCCCAAGTTTTTGGGGTCTGACCAAAGGCACAGCAGCAATTTTGGGGTATCTGGAAGTCTGAAGGCACCATCAGGCTGCTGATGAACTCGCCTCACGGGTACAGATTGACCTGCTGGCATGGTTTTGGTTTTGAGGGCCTCACCCACACTTATTCTGGCTCTGTGCTCAGGGATAATTTCCAGTTGTGCTTTGAGAATCATACAGTACTGAGTATCAAACTGTGATTCACCATGCAAGACAAGGTCCTTAACTCTCATACTGTCTCTCAGGCTCCTTTTAAAAGGAAGAAAAGGCTTTTGGGGTGTGACAGGAAATAGGAGTGCTTCATATCCTCCAGACCTACTCAGAGCTGACCTTTTTCCAATCTGAGGTCTATAAAATTCTAATGAGGAGGCAGCTAGGGAGACATCAGAAGGGTCAGGGGTACATGCTTTGCATATCCAGAATTCCAGTTTGATCCTACAGTATATGATCAACTGAGCAAGCAGTGCTGGTATAACCTAGAGGCTCCAGAGCAATGCCAGGTATGACCACCATATGACCCTGGTCGTCCCCAACAGTACAGGGCCTAAGTGGTGCCACATTCTTGGGCCCTGGCATTGAACCATCTGGCCTGGTTAGCCAAGTACTGCCAGGAGTGTCCCCAGGATATCCTGTTTGCACTGATTGGGAGTCCTCTCCCCCTACCAAAAAAAAAAAAATTCTAATATGGGAAATTGCACAAACCTGAACTAGTAGAGTCAGAGATACTACCAAAAGGACTCTGGTGACATTTCACAACAATGATACATGGATATACCAAGGTTTTCTTGAGAATCAGGAAAAGAACAAAAGTTTCCTCTAATTCGTCTTTGCTACACAGACCAAATCTTTTGCTAGGTCAGTTTACCCTAATAGTACACGAACAAAATTCACTACTACCAGAGTGTAGATTTTTTATCCTTTTATAAATAATGTGTTGTAGGATAACACTCTTTTGTCCTTCCTCAGGTAGCTTAGGTTTGTCAGGTCACACCCATCTAAGAACACTGAACTTGTAAGCAATGTCCTTTCTGTGTGGACACAGGAAGACAGTTAATATTATGCTTTGTAACTTGGGAGTTGATTGACTCCGAACAATATTTACTGCTGGGCATCTGATTTCTTGACTCAGTTGCCCTTAGTTCCTAGCACCCCAAAAGCAGGGTCCCGACGAGGGACTGAATGGACCCAGGGCAAGCAGTGAGCTACCCTGGCATCGAAATGGGCCAGGCCAAAGAGCCACGATACTCAACTATAAGTTGAGGGCATGATCATGGACAAATGCTGTCATGATCCAAAAGTAAGTAACGACGAGACTAGGACCCTGCTGGAACTAGGAAGATTAACCTGGCCTGAGGACTGTGAAATGTATAGTGAGATGTTCTCAGGAAGAACCAAACTAAATTTATATCTCTTACTGTGCTCATACAGAATGACATTGCTAGAAATATTAGAAGTAGATTTATTACAACTATTTAAGTAGATTACTAACTGAGGGAAGAACACACCCTTGTTGGGATCCCACCCTTGGGTGGATCTCCTAGTAATCTGAAGTAATCTCTGTAGATGAGATTTTATCCTTGAGTTAATCTCCTGGAGGAGTGGTCTTACCTCTCTTTGTTGATTCGTCAGTATTCAACCCACCTTTATGTCACCGCCTTATGTGACTGCTATATAAACTAAGACGTAAGCTCGGAAAGGGGGTCAGAAGCGGTAAGCTTGGAGAGAGGAAGGAGTCAGAAGTGAGAGAGCTCGGGCTCCAGAGATCCAGAGTCAGAGCCAGAAAGAGAGAGCTTCCAAGATTGGGGCACAAGAGAGAAGGAGGCAGAGAAAGACAGGAGTGAAGAGGATTGGAATAAACTACTACTGATATAGACCGGCCTGGCCCTCGTTTCTTCTTCCGTCTGCCCTTGGCCAACAGCCATTCCAATCCAGGCCACACACAGCGGCTCAAGAGCACCGAACGCAGGCGGCGAGACAGTGCCATCCAGTGAGCCCGTGAACACACAACCTTCGGCGTGATAAGATTTTACAATGTGTCTTATGTGTGCTGCATTAAAAATTACTACATAATGCGGAGAGCCTGGCAAGCTACTGAGAGTATCTCGCCGGCACGGCAAAACCTGGCAAGCTCCCCGTGACATATTCAATATGCCAAACACAGTAACAACAAGTCTCAAAAATGGAGATGTTACTGGGCCTGCTCGAGCAAATCGATGAACAACGGGAGGACAGTGACAGTGATTATTTCCCCTGATTCTGTGACCTAGGATTTCTGAGGGAAGTTAGCAAGGTGGTGGTTCTCTTCCATGTGACATCAACTGGAGTCTCAGCTGCGGTCTCTCACCTGCATTTAACTGGCGGCTGGCACCTGGTATGGAAGATGCAAAAGGCTTCATTTGCTGCCAGATCCCGACTGCTCCCTGAGCACTGCAGTGAGCAAACGCAGAGCAACTCAGGGTGTGGTCCAAAAAACAAAATAGTAATAAACTGGACAGAAAGAAACTAGTTATCACAGTGAGTCAAGAAAATGAACTCTAGGGACTGGAGCAATAGTACAGCTGGTAGGACATTTGCCTTGCACATGGCCGACTCGGGTTCGATTCCCAGCATCTCATATGGTCCCCCGAGCACTGCCAGGAGTAATTCCTGAGTGCATGAGCCAGAAGTAACCCCTGTGCATCGCCATGTATGATCCAAAAAGAAAAAAAAGAAAATGAGTTTTTGGACCACAGTGATAGTCTAATGGATAAGGTGCTTTCCTTGCACACGGCCAACCAGGATTCAATGCCAGGCAACCTCAGTAGTTTCCCAACCCCTGCCAGGAGCAAACTCTGAGCATGGCTTGTGCGGCACAATAATAAAAACAGAACAGCCAAAAATGAGCTGTTCCAATAGCCTTTAGAAACCAAGACTTAATCCCCAAACTTAGGTGTTCTTAACTTTTTTTGTTTCATCACAATAT